CGAAAAATCTCAGAATTCAAAAAATTACAAAAATCAAAAATTTCTAAAATTCGTGAAATTTCAAAAATATGAAATACTGAAGTTATTGAAATTTGACAATGTTTCTAGAAAATCAAAATCTCAAAAAAGTTTAGAATTCTAGAAAATTCGAAATTCCTGAATTTTGTAGAATTTTCCAAAAAAAAAAACCAAAAAATTCCAGAAAGTTAAATAAAATCCAGGAATTTGAAAAATCCGAAATTCCAAAAAAAATTCCCAGGAAATTCTGAAACCGAAATTCCCAGGAATTTCAAAAAAGAAAAACGCAAATTCTGAAAAATTCCAAAATTTCCAAAATTTCAAAATTGCGGAAAATCTGGAATTCTAGAAAATTCCAAAAAATCCCAAAAAGAAAAAATCAGGAAATTCTAAATTCTAAACTTCTGAAAAGAATTTTTTTCGAAATTCCCGTGACTTCTAAACTCTGAAAATTCAAAAATCCCAGAATTGTCCAATAAAAAAATCCAAAAATTCAAAAATTCGAAAACTCTCCTAGCAGATATTTTCTAGAAAATCGAAAACTATAAAACCTTATAGTTTGTAGTTCTTGTAGTTTTTGTAGTTTGTAGTCTTCCAAATTCCTCAAAGCCCCATTCCGAATTCACGCCTCATTCCCGATTATCCCATTTCAAAAAAAAATTTTTTTTTTTTAAATCTCAACCCCAAAAAAATGGTTTTCCCATGCTAAAATGTACAATTTCCACGCATCATCGAGAAGCGGCGGGATGAAAATGATATGAAAAAAAGCGCGCGAAAAGTGTAGTAGGTCAAATCCCTTCCGAAAAAGTGAGAAGAGAGAAATTGTAAAACAAAAGAAGAAGAAGCCAGATGGTTTGGGAGGACAGATGTTTTGAGGTGTCGCTTTTTATGCATAGAAATGTCATAAAATGGGAAATGTTTTTCTAAATTAAAAATACTGCTAAAGCTGGAAGTTGTGCAATTTTGAAGCTAGAAAGCTAGAAGATCCCAAATTCGGGTTTGATAACTTTTAGGCTTTGAACACCTAGCTCCAACATTTTGATTTTGTCTGAAAATTTCAAAATATACTAAACAAGAGATTTGCTTCATTTTTGTAGTTGACACTTTTTTCTTAAAATCGAGTCCTACGGAGATATACCGCCTGGAAGTGTGTGTCAATTACAAAAATGAAGCCCATGTGTTTTTTAGTATACTGTGAAAATTTCAAGCAAATCGACAAAGATTGAACGAGCTCTTCAGGCAGCCAAAAAAGTGTCATTTTAAACAAAATTTCCAAAGTTTCGACTTGTTTTAGAAAAATCGAAATATCTCCCTAGGATTCAATTTTCAGCAAAAATTTGTCAATTAGAAAAATGAAGATCTAGTTTGGTTTAGTAAATGCTGAAATTTTCAAAAGAAAAATCCTAAAAGTTTGAGCTCGATTTTCAGGCATCCAAAAAATGTGATTTTTGACAAAAATCGCATTTTTCCGGTTATTTTGAAAAACGTGCGATATCTTTTTCAGACTTGATTTATCAGAAAAGGTGTCAACTACAAAAACAAAGCTCTAGTTTTGTTTAGTATATCCTGAAAATTTCAGACGAATCCAAAACATTTGAGCAGGCTTTTCAGGACTGTCAAGTTAGCGTATATCTGGAATCCAAATCCGTATGCTTCGCACTCTTAAAGGAGGCCAGACACCAAAAAAAAAGTTTTCCTGATATTTTGCATAGAGAACCCCCATGAGGGGTTGAACTCATGACAGGCAGCTCAGGGGTACAGCGCTGCTACCGGCTGAGCTACGGGGGCGCGAAGGCGCCTGACGACCGATGGTCTACATAAGCGCGGCGCGATTTCGTCCCCCGAACTGTCCCCCGAATTTTTTGCTGTCTCGCCTCCTTTAAGTCATAAATTATCAAAATCGGGGGTTTTTTTTTCGCTGTTTCGAATGTTTCAATTTATGTAACAATCCTTGTTATCCATATTTCATCCCGATTCCTATTATCTCTCGCCTCGAGAGACGCAGACCGAGTGCGGGAAAACCAGGAGGAGGACAGAAAAATCTGTGCATAAGAAGCATATGTTTATGAGTGCTTCTTCTCTGCGGGGTCATTCGATTCTGAAGAAGAACAAGTAGTAGTAACCAGTAGCTTTTATGATCTGTCTCTCTTGTTGTGTTGCAAAGAGGGGAAGCCTTCCGACGAGAGAGAGAGAGAGAGAGACATGCTCACCGAGCAAATTTCAAGTGGTACAGAACACATAGGAGGAGGAAATGAGAGGGGAACACATGGATGGAGATTATGTAAAGGTCCTTTACAAAAGGGCCACTAGGTTTTGATCTATCTAGACAAGAGGAAAAACAATTGAATCAAAGAAAAGAGCCAGAGAAAAGATCCCAGAAAACTTCCATTCCCAAACTAAGTCTAAAGTTTGCGAAATTGGTAAAAAATGACATTTTTCGGCTGCTTGAAAATCTAGCTCAAATTTGTTCCATTTTTGAATATTTCAGAATATACTAAACAAAAATAGAGTTTCATTTTTGTAGTTAGCAATTTCTTGGCAAAATTGAGTAGTAGAGAAATATGCTGCATTTTTCGAAAAAGGCCAAAATTTGCAAAATGGGTTAAAAATTGACATTTTTTGACTGCCTGAAAATGCTAGCTCAAATTTGTTCGATTTGTCTGAAACTTTTCGAACACACTAAACAAAATTAGTACTACATTTTTGTAGTTGACAACTTTTTTGTGCCTTCAGCAGGAATTGAGATAATTGAGCTCGAAAATACTGGAAAACTTTTTTTTGACTTGTACTAACTTTCGAAGATCTCAAATTTTGAAAGAACCCCGGATTTCCACAAAAGCGACATTTTTGACAAAACTTTTATTCTGATTTTGTGTTTTAAAAAATCCAAATATAGTTTGTGGACCGATTCTTCTAGACCCCTCAAACTGGCGCGCTTTGGCAGCGTTTCTGCTCTCTGCGCTTTAAGCTCAATTATCTCGGTTTCAATAAAAAATATCAAGAAATTATCAACTAATAAAATATTTATCATATTATCACTAATATTCTATCAGTTGATCACTTTTTGATATATCTGATAAGAACCGAGATAATTAATGCCAAAGTTGGTGCACTCTCAAGTCTATAGGCTTTAGTTGTCCAATTTTACTAGGGAATTCTGTTAAAAGAAATACGGTAATTGTTGAAATCGTTTGTTTTTTGTAGTTTGTAGTCTCTCTAACTGTTACACTTATGTCTTACTGTGTTTTATAAACAACCAGTTAGCTGGACTTTTTTAATCCATTAGCATTTTTGGCATTTCCCAATTCCAAAAAGTCCATTATCTCTGTTTTTGCCACAGAAAAACCACAAAACACAGGAAAAATCCATTATATATTGGACACAGTAGTAGCCCCGATTGTATATCCATTTAGATTTGACACCTCCTCTCTCTTTCTCTGCGTCTCTCTCCCTCTCACACTCTCTCGCTCTCTTGCAATAAAGGCAGATGGATAGGCAGGGAAGGGCTGCTTTTTCCTGTCTCTTTGTGTACCCCCGTGGACAGGGACCAGATGTTTCTAGAAAAAGAGAACAGATAGCACATATAATATATAAAAATCGAAAATGTGCTAGATTTGGGGGATATTCATATAGGGCTTTATAACAGTTTATAACTGTCTAACTTTGCTTTGAGGGGTGCACTTTGGAAAAATGGATTTTTTCAAATTTCTGTGAAAGACACAAACAAGTAGTCAATTAAGAAAATGTAGGAAATTTAATTTTCTACATTTTATTAGTTAACAACTTTTTTATAAAATCACTAACAACGGAGATATGATCATTCAAAGATAAGAGCGCGCGCGCCTCCTCCTTCTCTCGCGCAGGGGGTATGATAGATTAAGCCTGGATTTTCACAGTTACTACAAGAGATTTAGAAAAAATTTTCAACTAATAAAATGTAGAAAATATTATTTTACACATTTTTTTAGTTGACCACTTTTTTGTATCTTTTACAGGAATTGAGATAATACCTATTTGAGAAATAAGGCGTCTCAAAAAAGGCTATATAGTGCAACTTGTTGAAATTAAAAATTCCAGAGACATTCCTTTTTGATATTCATGGGAAAATTCTTAAAGAGAAGAATGCTTTTCAAAATGAAAAGAAAGAAGGGAAATTTGAAAAAAAGGGCTGACTACAAACTACAAAAATATACTGAAATTTTGGATTTTTTTCGGATTTCAAGCGTTTTTGTTAAATTTTTTAGCAAACAATTGGTGAAAATTAAAAATTGCGAGTTCTGGAATTTTTCTAAAATTTTAAAAAAGCTTTAAAAAATTAGGGAAAATAATTGAAAAATTCTGGAATTCATAGATATTCTGAATTTCAGAAAATTTTGGATATTTATAAATTTTGAATTTTTAGGATTTTCTAGATTCTCTAGATTTTCTGAATTTTTTCTAGATTTTCTCAATTTTTAGACATTTGAGGTTTTCGTGGATTTTTGGAATTTTGAAGATTTCCTGGATTTTCAGAATTTCTGAAGTTTCCTACATTTTTAGAAGTTTCCACTTTTCCTGAATTTTTTGATTTTCTGATTTTCCTATATTTTCAAAATTTCTACCAGATGGATTTTCTAGATTTTTAGATTTTTTTTTGTTATATAATATAAATATAACTTATATTTCCCGGATTTTTGGTTCTGGGAATTCGAATTCTTCCAAAATTTCCCTCATTTTCTTCTCTTTTCTACATATTTTCTGAATAAGTTACAAATTAGGAAAAGAGAGAGAGAGAGAGAGACGCAGAGAAATGGAAACCCTCCAAATACGAACACAAATATATCAAATGACATGAATTATGGAGTGAAGAGAGAGAGGGTATTCCCAGCTCTCTAAATTTTATGAAATTTATGAAATCCAATATATGTATGGAGGAAAAATGAAAAATTCCTCAAATTTGGGGGTTTTCGGGGACCCAAAAAATCTGGGAAATAATTGAAAAAATGGATTTTGAAAAGTGCGAATTTGAGCTCAAAATTCTGAATTTCTGGGGAATTTTTTTAGACAATATTCAGACGAAATTTGTCTTTTTCCAGGCTAGAACACTAATTAACATCCCATCAACAGCACCATCTGGATGGCTAATTGGAGACCTTCGATTTCAGAATTTAATTGGAAATTCTGAAAATGCCACGTTGCAAAACTCGATTTTCAGCTCGTATTTTGAAGTGGAAAATGGAGATAAGGTTGGTTTTTTTTTGGAATTTTTGTAGTTTTTTAGGGAATTATCTGAAAATCGAAAATTTGGAAAAACATTTTAAATTGACATTTAAGTTTTTGGGTTTTTAAGAAATTTTTAAATAATTCAGAAATTCAAAAAAATCAAAAATCTAGACAATACTCAATTTTGAATTTTAAAAATTCAATCTCCATTTCTGTGGTTTTTGTAGTTTTTGTAGTCTGCATTTTGAAATTTTTTGTTATTTTCAGATATTTTGTGTTTCCGCAAAACTTTGGACACTTTTGAATAGATTTCTCAAAATTTTGAATTGATCAATTTTCTAAAATTATTGATTTCTTTTTCAGATCATCACCAACTCTACCATCTCCCAACTCCGTGGAGAGCTATTTGAGCTCTTTCTCAACGTCCAAGAGCAAAATTTCCACCGTCTAGTGACCCTTCACATCTATGTGGAGCCCCCAAACCAGATTGCTCATCTTAAAAAGTTCCTCTCTACCGTATACCGGTCTACCGTATACACATCTCAACCACCAGGCACTACAGTAGTCTTTTCGAAACCGATTTCGCTGGAAAATCAAGGAAACTCTTCGAATTTTCAAATTGCACCAATTTCGAAAACTCCGGGACAGTTTCTGGTGAAACCACGTGGCAAATCCATGGAAATTCTGATGATGAAGACGTCGTTGGAGTCAGAAGACGTTGGAAAACACGTCTTCTATTTGGCAGCGTTGTCTGATAATCAAATGGTGAGGAAATTTGAGAATTTTTGGAATTTTTTGAAAAATTTTCAATTTTCAGAATTTCAGAAATTTCATAAAAATTTTAGATTTTCTTTAATTTTTCAAATTTTTGGAATTTTTAAAATTTCAAAAAAAAAATTTTAAAGATTTTTAAGAACTTTCAGATTTTCAATTTGTTTCAGATTGCTCAGACTAAAATTATCGTGGACATTGTGGATTCTGGAGACGTCAATTTCCTTCTGATGTCCAGAAAGATGATAGCAAAGTTTGCAACGAAAATTCCAGAAAATACAACGATTTATCAAGTGGAAAAGAGGTGAGAAGTGTAATTTGTAGTTTTTGTAGTCTGTAGTTTGTAGTTTGTAGTTTGTAGTTTGTAGTCTATGTTTTTCAAGAAGTTTAGAACATCGTAACATCTTAAAATCAGTTCATCCGCCATTCACCCGCCAGACATCCGCCGACCATTTTTTCGATCTAGTTTGTAGTTTGTAATTACTGAGTCAGTAACATCATAGAATAAGATAATCCTCTTTTCATCCGCCAAACATCCGTCGGCCATTTTTTCGGTCTAGTTTGTAGTTTGTAGTCTTTGCAGTATTTTCAGTTAGTAGTTTGTATTTTTTGTAGTTTGTAGTTCATAGTCTTTAGTAAAGTTTGAAAAATTAACATCTAAAGAAATAATCACCCGCTGGACATCCGCCAGACACCCGTCACCCATTTTTTGGTCTAGTTTGTAGTTTTTGTAGTCTCTGCACCTTCCAATTTTTCAGAAACATCTCCGAACCCCTTCTCTTCCACCTCGATCAACCGTCTCGATTCTTCGAAATCGATCACTTCTCTGGAAAAGTGTCTACAGTACTCCCCGTCGGTTACGGTATCTACCATATTCGAGTAGTAGCTAGGAACAGTAAGAAACAGGTTGGTTTTTGAAATTTTCAGCAAAAGTAATTTTTTTTTGAAAAAAATTTTTTTTTTCGATTTCCAAAATTTTTGGAAGTCTGAAAATAATTTTTTAGATCACAAAATTTAAAAAATCCTGAAAATTGCATTGTTCAGCGCTCCGATGCATGGCTCCAAATCATCGTCAGTGGTCATTTGAAGAATTGGGAAAAGTCTGAAATTCAGAAGACGTCAAGATCCCGACGTCATCTGGATGACTTGATTTTTAGGATTCCAGAAAATTCGACAATGGAAGAAATTGAGAGGAGGAAAATGGTAAGGATTACTTTTCGAAAATTTTTTAGATTTTCAAAAAATTGAAATTTCTGAATTTTCAGAAATTTACAAAAAGTTTTAAATTTCAAAGATTCTATTCAAAAATTAAATGAAAATCCAAATTTTCGAAATTTTCCACAAATGATTTATTCTGGAATTCTCGGATTTTCAAATTTTTCGGAATTTCTGTAATTTTGAAATTTGCATATATCTTTCATAAAATTCTGAATTTCTGAAAGTCTGGAATATCCAAAAATTTTGAAAATCTCAAAGTTTTCAAAATTCAGGAGAACTATTAAATCCCAAAATACTGAAATTTTGCTAAAATTCAAAAAAATAATTTTTTGAAATTTTCGAATTTTTAGATTTTTTTCTGAATTTCCGGGAAATAATTTTTGGATTTTTGAATTGTCAATAATGGCCTAGAATTTTATAAAATTTGAAAATCTTCCATTTTTTTTCCAGAAAATTCCTCTATTCCCCGGTGAAACGATAGGAGAAATCAGTGTTGCCAAGGAATGGCTGAAAATCGATGCAGAGGGGAAAATTCGAATTTTGAAGCCGTTGAATTTCGAAAAAACCAGCTCCATCATCGCTACAGTACCCATTAATGGTCTTCAGAGCAGTTAGTTTTCATTTTTGGATATTTTGTAGTTTTTAGTTTCAGAAAAATTGGAAAAACCTCGAAAAATTCAAAAAGCTGAATTTGAAAAATCCCAAAAACTTATTATCTAGCATTTTTCGATAATTTTAGAAATTTGAGGATCAGAATATCCCTGAAAATCGAATTTTAGAAAATTTTGAAAATCTTTAAACCCTTAAAAATCATTTTGCTATTGCGTATTTTGTAGTCTTTGTAGTCTCTGTAGTCTGTCTAGTACCCAAAAAGTCTAAAAAAATCTGAAATTTCAAAATTCAAGTTTTCAGTAAAACCTGAAAATCTACATTTCGAAAATCTGATAATCTGAGTCTTTTTAGTCTCTGCATGTCCCCATTCATCAAAATTAGGGTCAATTTCTAAAATTCAGGCTCTTCCACCTGTTAGCTTTTACTAAATCATCATCAATCATCATTATACCTCTTCTCTAGGTTCTCTGCGTCTCTCTCTCTCTCTCTCTCTCTCTCTCACACACAGAGAGTTGATTCTACGCCTTATGTTCAAAAATGTTGAGCATAAAATTAGTATGATGGCAGCTAATCAAATCTCCCCTCTGCTGACATCTTCTAAATATCTTCAGAAGACGTTGACGTTTTCTGAGTACATACACACAGACACAAACCGGATGTCAGTCAGTTAGAGGTCATTTCTGGGCTCTCTTTTGGCTCTTTTTGGGGGGTTCTCAAGGGACTTTTGGGAGAGAGAGAGAGAGAGGAGATCCTAATACAATTACGGAGAAGAGAGCTCTTTGTAAATTATGGACTGCACAGACAGGGAGAGGGACCAGAAAGTTCTAGGAATCCTTGAATATATCAAAATCAAGGGAAGAAAATTCCAGGAAATTTGAGCAAAGACCAACTAAATTTAACTGACTTTTATCTGAAAATTAGCAGATTTGGGCGCACACCACTCTCGCGAAGGTTGGCGCGCCTTGGAGGGTGCTCACTTCCACGTGGCATATCTCCCCAGGACTTGATTTTCTACAAAACATGCCAACTACAAAAATAAAGCCTTAGTTTTAATTAATATGTTCTGAAATTTTCAGACAAATCCAATAAATCTGAGCTAGATTTTCAGATAGCCAAAAAAAATACCTTTGTGCTCCCAACTACAAGGGGGGAGGTGAAACACTCTCGAGGGATGGGCGATTCCACGTGGCGTAACTGCTCAGTACTTGAATTCCCGAAAATGTGGTCAACTATGAAAATGAAGCTCTAGTTTTGTTTAGTATACTCTAAAATTTTCAGACAAATCCTATAAATTTAAGCTAGAGTTTTAAAGCCTCACAGTGGACGGTTTTTAATGCAATTTTGGTTTTTTTTGCTAGGTTCAAAATCTATCAATTTTAGGCGTTTTTTCATGGTGCTTTTTTTTGTGTAATTTCAGTTGAATCACCTTCTGAAATAATTTTTCATATTTTAAATTCCCTTTTTCTTCTAATTTCTCTTCAAAAAATGCAAATTTCCCAAAAAGGCTTAAGCAAGACAAATGAGTCTTATGTCATTTTTCCCATTTTGAACAGATTGCGTCTTCCTTTTCGGCATCTTTTTTCCTTTTTTTTCAACGTTTCCGCTCGTTTTGAGCCGTTTTGGGGGCAAAAGGACGCATGAGCATAATCTATTTGATGTGTGTAATGAGCTAAATTTAGTGGGGGGGGGGGAGGGAAGCTGGCGAAAACAATGGGACTGGGACACAGACAGTTGGAGAGGGGGAAAAAGAGGGGTAAAGGGACCGATTTTTAGTAGTCTAAGGTATTTTATAAATCTTAACACCTTTTTTGATTTTTCGCTCAAATTTATTGGATTTGTTTGAAAATTTCAGATTATGTTGAACAAAACTAGAGCTTTCTTTTTGTAGTTGACATCTTTTTTGAAAAATAAAAAACTAAAGAGATACAGCACATTTCTCGAAAATAAGTGAAAATTCGCGTTTTTGGAAAAATGGTCTTCTTTTCGGATGCCTGAAAAGCTTGCTCAAATTTTTTTGGATTTGTCTGAAAATTTTGAAGTACACTAAACAGAACAAGAACTTCATTTTTGTAGTTGACCACTTTTTTAGAAAATCAAGTCCTGAGGAGATATGCCACGTGGAATAGAACGCCCTCTAAGGCGCGCCCACCCTACGTGGTAGGCGCCGGAGGAGAGAAGAAGGGAACTTCCACGTGGCGTACCTCCCTAGAACTGGATTTTCAAAAAAAGTTGTCAACTACAAAAATAAAGCTCCAGTTTTGTTTAGTATATTCTGAAATTTTAAGACAAATCCAATAAATTTGAGCTAGTCAAAAATGCTTTTTTTTTCCAAAATCGCGAATTCCTGGGAAAATTAATATTAGTTATTTCTTTTGAGTTTTTCCCGTTTAAAAAATAGGTTTTTTTATCAATTCTCCCACCACTAATTATGCTTGTGTAGTCATTGAAGCGTAATCTAAAAGGATCATCCTTATTCGTAACAAAAACGGATCAAGTGAGAGAGAGAAAGAGAGAGAGAGGGGGTAATCCCTCTTGTGTCCACTTCTTCAAATGAGGTGTCACTTGCATCACGAATGCCCCCCAAAAAAATAAATACGAACATCTGCTCCTACCATTTTCGCTCTTTTTTTTCAGCTACTAGAAAATTGGGGATCTTGTTGGGGTAGCTAAGGGACCTTCAAAATTGGAGGCCAATTATCTCAGTTGCTGTGAGAGACATCAAAAATTTGTCAACTGATAAAATGTTAACAATATCCTAAGAATCATTTTTGTAGTTGACAAGTTTTTGATATCTTTTATAGGAACTGAGATAATTAGGCTCAAAACTTATGGTTTGAAAAAAAAAACTGAAATTCCCTTGAAGACCCCTCCTTTGAACAGGAACCCATGTTCCTGAATAAAATTGAAAAACTTGAGGCACTTTTTCTGAGTGAACATTTTCCATTGTCCCAGGCACCGTTCAGTACGGGACGAGACGGGAGGGGTCCGTTTAATTGCGCTAAGCCAGTGGACACTCACTTCTCACTCTCTTTTTGGGGAGATTGAAAGATTGATGGGTTTGGAAGACGTGGAAAGAGCCAATTTCGGGGGAAAAGTAACCGGAAAAAAGACAGAGACTGCTATGTAAAGGGAAAAGGGACCTAGAACATGGAACATTTACGAAAAACCACTTCGAAATTAATAGATTTTGAGCCTGGAAATCCAAAATTTCGTGTTAAAATTCGAAGCTTTGAAACTTTAGCTCACACTTTTTCGATTTGTCTGAAAATTTCAGAATATAGAAAACAGAACTAGAGCTTTATTTTTGTAGTTGACAACTTCTTTGGAAAATTAGGTCCTAGGGAGATATACAAACTTTCTCAAAATAAGCCAAATTTTGAAAATTTGCTCAATAATGACCTTTTTCGGCTGTCTGAAAATCTAGCTCACACTTTTTCGATTTGTTTGAAAATTTCAAAATGAACTAAACAAAACTAGAGCTTCATTTTTGTAGTTGTCAACTTTTTTGAAAAATCAACAGCTATAGCACATTTTTCAATACAAGCAAAAAATTGCGATTTTGGAAAAAAGGATATTTTTTGGCTGTCTGAAAATCTAGTTCAAAATATTTGGATTTGTCTGAAAATTTCAGAGTGTACTAAACAAAACTAGAGCTTTATTTTCGTAGTTGACCACTTTTTTAAAAAATCAAGTCCTGGAGAAGATATGCCACGTGGAAGTAGACACCCTCCAAGGCGCCCACCTCGAGCGGGTGGGCGCCACTCTCGGTGTGCCCACTCCACGTGGCATATCTCTTCAGGACTTAATTTTCACAAAAAATTGTCAACTACAAAAATGAAGCTCTAGTTTTGTTTAGTATACTCTGAAATTTTCAGAAAAATCCAAAAAGTTTTAGCTAGACTTTCAAACTGTCCAAAAAATGTCAACTTTAACCCGAAATTTCGAAATTTGAGCTCCTCAACCTTTTAAAATTGACGAACTTTTTCAATCTGTTTGTAGTGCTTTCTCTGCGTCTCTTCTTTTTCCATACTATTGCACTTCTGTGTGTACAAAACAATAGGGGGACATATGCTGAGCAATCGTGACCCGCCGCGCATATTTATGCATAAGTGAAAGCATATGGTAATCTCTTGTAAATCGAAAAAGATGAGCAATCGAGAATTTGGAAAGGGGACCAAAATATTCATTTTTTGAACATGTTAAAAATTACAAAGAAAGTTAATTATTCAATTAGGGCGTAATTAATTAATTGAAGAAGCAATTACTCAAAATTCGGGTCATCAAATGGAATTAGAACATCATCTCCGATGGTTGGTTTTGAAGCTCCGCCCCTTAAACGCGTCCCAAGGGCTCTGGCTTGAATTGGGAGCTGAAAATTTGAATTTTTAGAAATTTTTGAATTCCCGCCAAATCAAAAATTAAAAAAAAACAATTCTAAAACTCACCGCCGAATGCACAAAACCGGCTCCATTGGGGGAATTGACTTGAATTTGAAGATTTGATAATTCAGTTGTGGTTTTCAGTTTTCCGCCGGATACTGTAACTACAGTAATCCCAAAAAATATAGAAATAATAGTTAAAAATCGCATGATTTCTTCTTATAAAAGATAAGAATAATAAAGGAACTTGGATGTCCAGATTTGGTGGTTATGATTAAAAATGATAAAAGATAAAGAGAAAGTGACTAGTTTTTCTGGTTTTTTTTGCTTTGGGTTTTGCTTGATTAGGATGAAAACTATGGCTTTTTTTTGGAAAGGAATAATGCAACATTATTAGAAAAATTAGTGGAAATTTCCTTTTTTTTTGGGAGAATTGAAATTTTTAGAAAAAAAAAATTAAAAATTGAAAAAATATTTTTTTTCGATTTTCAAAATTTTCAAAGTTTTGAAAAGAGGAATCAAATTTTTAAAGAAATATATTTTTAGTAAAAACTCAAAAAAAAACTGAAAAAATGAGAAATTTTAATTTGAAAGCTCAAAATAATGAATATAGAATTTCCTTTTTTTTTGTAAAAATCACATGTTTTGGTTGCTTGAAAATCTACCTTAAGTTTATTTCGATTTTTTTGAAAATTTCTGAATATATTAAACAAAACTAGGGCTTCATTTTTGTAGTTGACAACTTTTTTGAAAATCAAGTCCTGGAGAGATATGTCACATTTTTCAAAATAAGCGAAAAATTGAGATTTTGGGTGAAAAATGTCATTTTTTGACTGTCTGAAAATCTACCTTAAACTTTTTTGATTTATCTGAAAATTTCAGAATATACTTTTAAAAAAAACTAGAGTTTTCTTTTTGTAGTTGATAACTTTTTTGGTAAATTAGATCCTGGGGAGATCTGACCTCGAGTCATCCCACAACTCTCATTTTTGTCTCACCATGTTGCAAATTTTTCAGACTACAAACTACAAACTACGCATACCTGTATCTGTATAACAGGTGTTCCTCCTTGAGCATCCTCGGCCACAAACGCTGTGTAATGACTCGTTGGCAGGAATACGGCACTTTCATCGTTGGTATTCTCTGTCCGAATGTGTACCATTGCCGTATTGCTCAGCTGATTTGTTCCATGATCACGGGCGGTCACATTGAATCGATAAACGAAATGTCTCTCGTTGTATTGATCTGCATCCAGACGGATTTTTGCACTAATCTCTCCATTTTCGTTTATTGAGAAATTCTGATTGCCCAGCGAATAGGTGATACGCGCGTTTTCTCCAGAATCTTTATCGATAGCAGTAACTGAAAAAGTTGTAGTCTTTGAATTTTGCAAAGTTCCGTCATTCAAACATCCGTTCAGCCATTTTTGGATCTAATTTGTAGTTTGCAGTTTTTATAGTTCATAGTTGAAAGCGTAGTTTGTCTATTCTAAAATTATAAAGTTCCAAAAGGCAAATAATTCGGGGG